AGTCTATCAGTAAAAATGGACAGACCACATACAGGGGGAAAAAAATCATTAAATACAGTTATAAATTCCACTAATTATATACTTAAAAAATGAGAATTGCAGTGGATTAAGTTTTGAGAATATTTAATATGATCTGTGTGACCTTCTCAATTTTGCAATGTCAATGGCAAAGATAAAAGAAAAAAAGCAGAGAAACAGAAAAATTTAATACTTCAGACCTACACACACTATTTCACATCTTTTCAATATGCACTGGGTTGAGTTACTTACAATCCCAGGAAGGAATACTGATTAGATGGGACTAAAAGTGCGGAACCCTCCCCCAAACCAAAACCAACAAAACGAAACAAAAACACAACAGATCAGAAACTCACAAATCCCAAATTAAACAAAACAGTTTTAGGGGAAAAAAAGGAAAGTATTTTAGCCTCTTAAGTTCTAGAACATAGAGACATGCCAAAAAAGAAAAAAAGAAAGGGCAATTTGAAGTTTTTACTGATAGAGTTAAATGTATTTGCAGGACAAATTTTCAGTTTTCGAAATTGATTATTGCCATTTTTACTCTATCCTAAAGTTATTTCTTTACTACCCCAGTTCATGTCCCTTAGGTTAAATACTCTAACTGAAGCCAAAATAAGATCATCTTAGTAAGATTCTAGTAAAACTCTAATGACTCTTATTGATAAATACAAAAATGATAAATATCATTTTTAGGAATATAACTATAAAAGAAATAGGTAAATAAGTACAATAACTGTAACAATTATGTCAGCCCTGAGATGTGAATACTGATAAAGACTTATAGGGAGGGAATATAAACTACAAAAATCAGATAATTGCACATATAGAATATGTACTACTTTTGCACTAATTTAAAAAATATACATATTTTTGTCAATCTGGAAGGTGTACAATGAAAATCTCATTTTTGTTTTATTTTGCGATTTCTCTGGTTACTAGTTACACTGATCAACTTTTCAAACACTTGTTAGCAATGTGAGTTAAATTTTCCATTAATTAAAACTACTCATGTTCTTTATTTTTCTAATGCATTGTTTCTCCAAATTAAAAAGTTCTTTGCAAATCTAGACAGTGACTTGGTGAATTTTTAGAGGTCAAAGATACTTCACTTCTTCCTGATATGTCAATTTTCAAGTTCTCTATATTGTCTTCATTGTTTAGTTATGTATTTAACAAACACTTATATATATAGTCTGTTTTATTTGCCTGGTTCTATTCTAAGTGCTTCAAAAAAAATCAACACATTTAACCATGATAATAACCCAACAGGGGTAGGTATTATTATTATTTTCATTTTACAGCTGTGGAAACTGAGGTACAAAGCTGTTATGTAACTGGCCTAAGGTTACATGCGCAATGCTACTTCTCATAAGATGTGTTTCCTAGTTCTTTATTTTTTCAAAAAATGTCTAACTACTGTGGTCTTTATTATACCCTAAAAATACAGAATCATTTTGTTATTTTTTTCTGGAAATTTGGTTGGAATGGAATTGTGCTTATGGGAAGAACTTCCATCGTGATAATGTTAAATCAGGCCATCCATGAACATAGTATAGCAATTATACCTCTCCATTTATTCAGGTCTTCTCTTATGTCGTATAATATAGTAATTAAATTTTCATGATGAGCTTTTTTTGTTAGGTTAAATCAGGATTGGCAAACTGCTTTGGCCCATGGCTTCTTTTTTATGGCCTGTGAGCTAAAAATAAATTTTATAATCTTAAGGGGTTATTAAAAACCCCCAAACACCAAAGATTTTGTGACAGAGCGTATACACCTGCAACATCTAAAATATTTAATATCTGGCCTTGCACAGAAAAAGTTTGTTGATCCCTTGGTTGAGGTTTAGATGTTTACCATTTTTTTCTATTGTATTTAGTAACTTCAGTGTTCAGTACAGAAGTCACAACCACACATGGCTACTTAAATTTAGATAATTAAAAATTCAGCTCCTCAGTCACACTAGCAACATTGCAAATGCCCAACAGCTACACGTGGTTGGTGGTTACTATTATGGACAGCACGCAGAGAAGACAGCTGACATTCTATGAGTCAACCTTACTCTTTATTTGTTGTATTGATTTGTTGAGTCTACTGGGCTTCCAATGCAGATGACCAAATTTACATAGGGTCACAAGCATAAAGTGACTTTTATTATTTTCTTAAATATGTATTATTTCCATTCCTCAGGGCAACACTTTAAGACAGGTATTGTTATTTCAACTTTACAGATAAGAAAACAAACACTTGGAACTTGATTCCGTATCTGCCTATTCACAAAACTGGATTCTTTATGCCAAATGGTGCTGCATCTTCCTCTATTCTAATAAAATAGCAGTCAAGACAATAGGTTAAATAATGGTTTGATAAATGAGAGGGATTCAATATAGAATGGATAAGATAATTTGACACTTCAGTGCTAAGTGACATAGTTAGCTAGGAGCACAGAACACTCTAGGGCTCATCATGTGCCCAATAGGATAAAGAACTTTTAAACAGTGAGGGATGGGCTACTTTGTGAGATTGTAAGATTCCTATCATTGAAAGTAATGAAACCCAGATGTTAGGTAGCCAATAATGCAAAAACTGTTTAGGGTGTGCATGAAGCTAACAAGATGGGTTGTATAGTACCAGTCAAAGCCAGTTAAAACAATGTAAAAATATTATAATTCCGTACCTGAATTTCACCAAGGCGATCTAGCTGCTCTTGCATCTGGTTCCTGGAGAGAGTTACATCATATTCTAACTTATCATATTCTCTCCATGCTCGTTCCAGTTCCTGAAATCAGAGCTTTAATTACTTTAATGGAGAAAATGTGCTGGTGTGTTATCAATCCTGTAGTTTACAATGGACAACATAAAAAATTTTATAACTCATTTTCCTTTATTTTTTTCCTCTCTTTTTTGCTCAATTTAAGAAAAATTTACTGAGGAACTGAATTATTTATTATTGTGCTGCTGCTATACTCAAAATTACTAAAATCCCTCCCCCCCAAAACCTTAAACAACCAAAAAAACCCAAACAAACCCACCTGAACTATTTATTATTTATTCAATCATGACATCAAAATTTTCAGTTGATTCTAATATCTAGAGTTCTATTTTGAGAAAATGTGTGATTTTTTTTTTAAGAAGATGTTGGGGGTAGGAGTTTATTAATTAATTAATTTATTTTTGCTGTGTTGGGTCTTCGTTTCTGTGCGAGGGCTATCTCTAGTTGTGGCAACCGCGGGCCACTCTTCATCGCGGTGCACGGGCCTCTCACTATCGCGGCCTCTCATTGCGGAGCACAGGCTCCAGATGCGCAAGCTCAGTAGTTGTGGCTCATGGGCCTAGTTGCTCCGCGGCATGTGGGATCCTCCCACACCAGGGCTCGAACCCGTGTCCCCTGCATTGGCAAGCAGATTCTCAACGACTGCGCCACCAGGGAAGCCGAAAATGTGTTATTTTATTCATAGTAATACATTAAATTTTTCTTGAAAGTGAGTTTTTAAAATGCAGAAGAGGCATAAATAAAGCACTTTCTTATCTGATATGATTAAAATTTGTCCAGGAATAAAAATGCTAAATAGGTTGTATTTTAGCATGTTGGATTTTCAATAACACCAGAAGCCTGACATGACTTCACTTAGAATAAATTTACAGTAATGTAATGAAGCTAATTCAGCTAACCAATCTAGTGAATTTTGCTCCTAGAGACTCGATAGAGGTACTACCCACCTATACTTTTCTCCTTTGGGGAAAAAAAACTACCCCCAAACCCTCAAATCACAGAGAAAACTTTTGTACTTGATCCTTATCCACCTGTCATCTATTTAATATAGAATAATTCTACAAGTGTTCAAAACTACATTGTCATGTCATTCTGCTTCAGGGAAGCTATTCCACAGGAGTGTACGTACTCTTCAGACATTTCAGAGAGTGGTATGAGGTCAAATTGATAAACTAAGGACAGGAACTATATTTGATCACTATTTTATCACCAGTATCTAGCGTGGTGTTGGCACACATGACACAACCAACAAATGTTTACTGAATGCTGTAAAATGAATTAGTAACTCTTGTCTAAGAACTTCCCTTGACCATAGATTTCTTGACTTGAACTGCTCTAAGCAAAGCTCCCCTGGGAAATGTTAGTTTAACAACAGCAATAGTTTTGGGATAAGAAAAGAGGGTACTGAATGTAGAAGAGAGGTTACTGAAAATCATCTTAACAGTTAAAAAAAAAAAAGCAGCAATATTCAAGTTCCTAGAGGTTCTCTATTTTCTATATTCTGCAGCTAGCTTACAATTGCTTAAAAACTTAGGCAATGAAAATTACCTTTAAAAATTAAAATGACTGTTAAAATTTGGGCCATTTGGAATAACTGCTTTTTGAATTTAAGATGTCTCCTTATAAGGTTTTTTAAAAAATTAATTAATTTATGCTTGCATTGGGTCTTCGCTGCTGCCGGCAGGCTTTCTCTAATTGCGTTGAGCAGGGGGCTACTCTTTGCTGTGGTGCGCGGGCTTCTTATTGCTGTGGCTTCTCTTGTTGAGGACCACGGGCTTTAAGCGCACGGGCTTCAGTAGTTGTGGCTCGCAGGCTCTAGAGCGCAGGCTCAGTAGTTGTGGCGCACGGGCTTAGTTGCTCCACGGCATGTGGGATCTTCCCAGACCAGGGCTCAAACCCGTGTCCCCTGCGTTGGCAGGTGGATTCTTAACCACTGCACCACCAGGGAAGTCCATAAGCGGGTTTTACAATGGATTACGTTTTTTTGTTTTTTGTGGTTTTTTTTGCGGTACGCAGGCCTCTCACTGCTGTGGCCTCTCCCGCCGCGGAGCATAGGCTCTGGACGCGCAGTCCCAGCGGCCACGGCTCACGGGCCCAGCCGCTCCGCGGCATGCGGGATCCTCCAGGACCGGGGCACGAACCCGTGTCCCCTGCATCGGCAGACGGACCCTCAACCACTGTGCCACCAGGGAAGCCCTGGATTACGTTTTTTAAAAAAGCAGAGATAAACCACTGGAGATTTTTTTTATCATCTCTATATTATATAATTTAGGGAGTCTATTATGCAGATTTCACAGTGAATTAAATTTTAAAAAGGCAAAGTGGTAAAGGACTAAAGATTTTAATCTCATTTATATTGTGTAAATATTACCCTCCTGACTTGGCTTCAGCAAACTGTTTTCACCTGAATCAATAAGGATATTAATCTCCTTTAAGAAAAATTGCCTGGAAAATGAAAGAAAAGAAAAGAAAAAAAAAAAAAAGGGAATTCCCTGGCAGTCCAGTGGTTAGGACTCCACGCTTTCACTGCTGAGGACGCAGGTTCAATCCCGGGATGGGGAACTAAGATCCTGCAAGCCATGCAGCATGGCCAAAAAAGAAAAGAAAAATTGCTTCTAGCCATCTTCTAAATTGTAAGCACCACAAAAACTGCAAATTTAAATAGTGGGCGTTTGAAGGCTTCAGAGAGGGTAAAATGAGGATAACAGACCCAGTGGCAGCCCAGCAATGAAATGAGATGGCATTGCCAGGCTGACACTGAGCCTCTTTTGTAGAAAAGTTCAAGGGGAGACCAAAGGTGCTGCAGAGGCAACTAATCACAAGAACATTTTAGGACGGTGGAAATTCTTATCTTTCTTACAGAAACACATGAAAAATAGAGATTGAGAGGTAGAGGTTACTCTACTAATATTCTAGGGGTGAAGAAACACAATATACTTTCGATTTTCCTAACCTGGAAAGTCCTGCCATTGTACTGTACCAGTTGGCCTGAGTCCCATTATCCTGCTGGGCCTGTTTCTGCCTTTACCTCTGGGCTCCTCCAGCATGATTATGGGTGGGTAGTAACACAAGTCAACGGGGACAGAAAGAAAAGAGGCAGCACTGGCATAACATCAGTCCTCCTAACACCTGGCTGAGTATTTCATTAAAGAATTTAGTGGCTTATACAAATGCAACGTTAAAATTTTTAAATATGAGATTACTCTTTTTCTTTGTCAAGAAGATAATATATAGGTACACTAAGGCAATTAAAAGGGGTAATGACTTGCAAATATACAATTATCTTAAAATCACAGGCACAAGTCAGGAAACACAGCAGTGCTTTCAATAAAAACATGGACCTTCATGCCATACAGTTAAGAGAATGAGTTAAATCCTGCAATTTACAACCACATGGATGAACCTCATAATGTTAAAAAAAAAAAGCCAAATAGTATATACTACATGATTATACTTTTAGTAAGCTCAAAAACAGGCAAAGCTAATGTAGAGTTTAAAAGTCAGGCAGTGGTGTTTGGGGAGGAGCCATCACTGGGAGGGAAGTTTCTGGCACGTTAGTAGAATTCAGTGCCTTGCTACAGGTGTTAGCCACATTTGCGCAGTTAAACTTGTGTACTTTTCTGAGAATATGACCTACTCTAACAAAGGTTTAAAAAAATAAATGTGTGTGTGCATGTGTGGAGTTGCTTGAGGGATGGCAGAAAACTTTTAAAAAATTTGACTTAGTCCAAGTTTAAGGCTTGGAACAAGTACATTTTAATAGTGGTTACTTCTTTATAGTCTGTACTGAGGCAAGACTCGGCCACCGTGGGGAAAAAAATAAACAAACTACAAGTAGGTTTGCAATCCTCAGAGGCAATGAAACCCCAGACTACCAAAAAGATGCGAGAGGATTTTTTTAAAAAATTAATTAATTAATTAGTTTGTCTGCATTGGGTCTTCATTGCTGCGCATGGGCTTTCTCTAGTTGTGGCAAGCGGGGGCCACTCTTCGCTGCCGTGCACGGGCTTCTCACTGTGGTGGCTTCTCTTGTTGCGGAGCACGGGCTCTAGGTGCGCAGGCTTCAGTAGCTGCAGCACGCAGGCTCAGTAGTTGCGGCACGCGGCCTCGGGAGCTGAGGCACGCGGGCCCTAGGGCACGTGGGCTCAGCAGTTGTGGCTCGTGGGCTCTAGAGCGCAGGCTCAGTAGTTGTGGTGCACGGGCTTAGCTGCTCCGCGGCATGTGGATCTCCCCAGACCAGGGCTCGAACCCGTGTCCCCTGTACTAGCAGGAGGATTCTTGACCACTGGGCCACCAGGGAAGTCCCTGTTCTATTTTCTATTTAAAAAATGAAGGGCGGCGTGAAGGAGGAAGTCTGGGGAGGCGCGGAAGCTGGGGGTCCGTGGGGCTGAGCGGATGCCATGCGCCGCCGGCACTGCACGCAGGACCCGACCCGTGCCCGGGGCCGTGGGTGGCTATGCGCAGCAGCTGAACCAGCTGGGCGTGTTCTCAGCCCTGAAGGAAGTGCTCTTCCACTGTCTCACTGAGCCAGAACAGGTGGAAAGGTTTCTGGCTCAGCTCTCTGAATTTGCCACCACCAAGCAAATCAGCCCCGGCCCCGTCAGAAGCATCGTGAAGAGCCTCCTCCTGATTTCAAACGGTGCCTTGAAGAAGAGTCTCACAGCTGAGCAGGTCCGGGCTGATTTCATAACTCTGGGTCTCAGTGAAGAGAAAGCCACCTACTTTTCTGAAAAGTGGAAACAGAATGCTCCCACCCTTGCTCGATGGGCCACAGGTCAGACTCTGATGATTAACCAGCTTATAGATATGGATTGGACATTTGGAGTGACGTCTGGGAGCAGAGAACTGGAAAAAGTGGGAAGTATGTTTTTACAATTAAAGTTGGTGGTTAAGAAAGGAAATCAAACGGGAAAATTTTTTTTCTTTTTCTTTTTGCAGTACGCGGGCCTCTCACTGTTGTGGCCTCTCCCGTTGCGGAGCACAGGCTCCGGACGCACAGGCTCAGC